CGAGGAAAATCTGGTTAATTAAATCCGAAACTATTCTCCCTAGGGACCAACAGACAAATTATATACAAGTACATAACATTTTAATTGATGTTTCAAGTAGCAGGGATTTAGGTAAATAACTTGAATTACACCTGCATGGAGGCTGGGCGCTGGAGGTGGTTACATAGTTAGTAACCAGATGGTCTCCCTGAGGAGACCGATGTTGCTGACCATCATGATGACTGGGCCAGGGCACCCAAGGCGGCTTAGCCCTCCATAGTGTACTTATAAGGCAGTACTAAAAGTGTCAATGACACAAGGCAACCTAAATGCAATAATGAGAGACACATGAGCCCACACAGGATACCAGGAGGATCTGTACCATAGAACGAATGCTGTTGCGAAGACTCACCCATGAGGCCTTAAAAGCAAGAAAATGAACAACTCAGGTCACTCCGGACCATTCACGAGTGAACCGATAAAACGGTAAAGTTGGAGCAGAGTCACAACAGCTGATGGCGCTCGGTCAGCAAAGAGACCTCCTCCGCTCCCTCGCCTGCCCAGCTGATCTCTGGTCAGGTGAGGGGGGAGAGGTAGGGAGGAGGGAACTCCAGACAAGCAGGTATCAGCGCCATCTCTCGCCCCCAGCGGCAGACAGCTACTCGTGCAGGAGGGGCTGCCTACCTCCAGGCGCGAGAGTTAGCGTGGGTGGCCTACCTGTCGGGCGTTCCCCGTTACAACCGTAACATGAACCGGTGAGAGGGGAAGGGGGGGGCGTTTAGCCGCAGAAACAGTGTGGTCATTATTTTGTTACTTCTGGGGAGAAAACCCGCCGTATTTGACCGTCCGAAATGAGGGAAGACCACTACTCCGCTTCCGCCGCCCTACTCGTCATACTGCGGCCCAGTCATTATGCAACATTGAGCGAGGCTATTAAAAGTGTAAGGAGTGCACTGTCCGTTATTTTCGCGGCCCAGCTCGGCTGGGGCTGACCGAGCTGGCCTTCTCGAGCCCCCTTCGACGCGGAGTAAGTCGAGGGATCGTTTACTTTGAGAAAGCATCGATTTTTCTGGAATTTTTTCGCTTGATAATTTCTTATTTTTTAAATATTTTCTGACTTTGTCAGATTTTTTTTCTTCTTTTTAATTTTTTCTTTCCCTTGATTTTTTTCGTGATGTTTTTTTGACATTTTCTTATTTTTTTGCGGGGTTCACGCACTCGGGTTGGAGCCGCGCAGCGCTAGTCCAAAATCCATCTCTCCGCTTCACCCATGGAGCATCCATCGGCCCAATAACTGCGCAATGACCTCCTCTCTGGTGAACCCGCGCCCCGCGAGATTCCCGCCGAGTTTCAATCCGAAAGCCACAAACGGCACACCGGAGCACGTGCCGAGAGAGGGACTGGGCCACATAGGACTAGGCGGGCCGGGTTAGGCCGGGCCTCGGGCCGGGCCTACCGGAGGGCAGGAGGAGGATGATTCACACGGGAAGATGATTACAGGCACGCCACAGTGCAGCGCCGTACGCCGTGCGGGGCGTGCCATCCACGACACGTACACGCCGAGCAGGAGGGACTCATACGTGGGAAGCAGCGGCAGCCTCAGCCGCGGGGAGCTCCGCGCGCGCATATAGGAGGGGACATGCGCGGGGGAGAGAGAAAGGGAAGGGGAATGGAGAGATGCTCCGCCTAATTTGAGAAATGCGCTTCGTGACTGTCTTGCTTATGGCGTGACCGTCGGCTTGACGCGCGGAGCAGGAGCAGGTCTTTTGATGTCGAGCGATGCCGGCGCGGCTGCTGCACCCGCGTGCGCGGTGCGGCGGAGGTAGGCAAACCGCTTCGCTACGGTACTTGCATTCATTAGCCACGAGGAAGACCTGCTGCGCTGATCCCAAAGCACTTACGGCGGGACA